AATCTTATCCAAGAATGATAATCTAATCATATATTCGACAATAACTGTGTCAAGATTTTTATATTATAGATTAAGTTTCTATACAAACCAGAATAAGATGTTGTTGAAGAATTTTTACTATATTGTTGTTGTCCAGTGGGATAATCATTTGTTATTGTTGTTGAATAATCATCGTCTCTTTTATCGTCAACATATCGAGTTTTATTATGATCTGTTGTATAATTTGAATAAATTCCTCGATTTCCTCCATCATTTTTTGTCATTTGAGATGATGAAATTATTGTTGGTTGTTTATAAGCATCATATTCAGATTGATCCATATAAGCACTTGCACCATAACGCTGTTGTTGTTGTTGATCAGCTGAATTATCACGAGGTCGTGGTGGAGGTGCAGCATCAGTATTTGAGGAAGACATATTTGTATTAAGTTTTGCTGAAACTTTACGTAATTGAATTAACTATATATAAATTGAACAAAGAAAAAGAGACAATGATGAAGTTTTTTTTTTGTATGATGTCAAACAATAAAAGTATTTACTTCATATAATTTTTTTCGATATTCATCAACAGTTAATTGTATATCATCACTTAATTGAGGTACAACATCATAACCTTTGGTAATTTCTTCACTTGGATTATGAAATCTAATTTAATAAAATTAGAAAGATTTTAATAGAATAAATGAAAATAAAAACAATAATAACATACGAGACAACAAATGGATGACGAAGTCCATCTTCAGCTGTTATTCTTTTATCAGGATTAAAATGTAGAAGACGACGAAGTAAATCAAGAGCTTCTTCACCAGCATTAGGAATAAAATGTTCAAATGATTTTTTTTGTCTATTAAATAGCATAATGGAAATAGTTTAGAATTTCTTACATAAAATGAATAATACCCAGATGATGCTCGTTCTAATACACTAGGTCCATAATGTGATCCAATACTAGCAATATCCGATTGACTTGGTGTTGGAATATGTTGAAGAATACGTTCTAATTGATTGAATGTTGATGTTCCTTGAAAAAGTGGTTTTCCAAGTAACACTTCTCCAAGAATACAACCTATACAACAACAACAACAACAACAACATTGTTTTGATTTTATTTAATAAATTTTAGTTTAATTTCATATGAATTCATTATCATAGAAGGACATAGTGATCGAGTCTAGTTGACAATTGAATATCTTGAAAAAGGTATGTTCTGAATTTCTTCTCTTTAAAACAGATGGTTTCTACTAGTAGAACATATTTGTAATGATAAATTCGTTTTGACTTACCAATCGACCACATATCAACACCTTTTGTATATCTAAACATATTTAAAGATTATATCATAATTATATTGTCTAAGAAAAATTTACTTGGATGAAGCGAGTAAAATTTCCGGTGCACGATACCATCTTGTTGCTATAAAATAATATATTTTATAATGTTATCAACTGATTAGTGACTTTTTTTAATAACACTAGTTGATGATAGATTATTAATTATGCTAACTCCGGATATGACCATGAAATATTTTCTTGAAAATCAGTTCTTTAGAGTAAGGAAATTTTCATCACAAATAATTTTTCTTCTATTCAAATTATAAAGGTTTTTGCATCGGTATAGCCAGTTTAATTAATATAAAAGACAAATATAAACATTCCGATGTGATTTTCTCAAAATAGAAAAATTATTGACTCACAAACAATTCAATATGCTCTATAATCAGATTACATCGAAAATAAACTTAACATATGAATTCCTAAGGCTGACGAAGGAACGTTTTTAACTGTTCATTCGCTTTTGAGTTCAGACTAGTGTCCGGCGTTCCCGCCGTGACTACCAGTGAGTTACGGTCACCGTCACGGCTGTGGCCGTGCGTGACTTTTTTCAAAGATCGTGACTGTGACCGTGGTTGGAGCTTGGTCACGGTTAGTCACGGGAACTTTTTCGAAACTTTGCAAAGCCCTGAGGAGTAGTAGGGGATCTATTAGCACTGGTTATATAGTTTATTAAGAAGAAAAAAAAAAGATGTATAGGCTCAACAACAACAACAATAAAAAAAAAGAAGCTTGTATATATATATGTTAGTAGAATCACGCCATCTCTTGAACGATAGTACATACAACGCTGATCGCGCCATATGTAGAATAAAAGATTATCGAAAGATGATCATACCGTATAAAAAGACAGATCATAGTATGATTAAGACGGTGAGGTGATAACAGGGTCGTAGAGAGTTACCTCGATAACAGGACTTTAGCGAAGCTACCTCCTCTTTCAGTCATCCTTTTTTATAAAAAATTGGGAAGTGTCTAGTATTAGTCGTTTCGGAAACCCCTGAGGGGGAGTACGGGCACCTCCGTGAAGCTACCCTCTCCCCCTCGATCATCACTTTTAATAGTAAACAGAAATTTTGCAATAGCTCTTTCTGGAAAGTTTTTTTTTCATGTTGAAGAACCAGAAAGAAGGGCCATGACTCACGGTCACGGTCACGGCCTGGTCTCACCGTGACCGTGATCGTGACCGTGACCAAAAAGTTGGTCACGCCAGGCACTAGTTCAGACTCTGTGCATAAAGTAGATCCCATTGGGTTATGAAAACTTTCAAAAGGATAAGTGCTCTTAGGCGTTCTCTCCAGAGCTATAGGCGTTTTACTACAATTTTAGCCTATGGCATGATATATGTCAAAAAATCGAATGGCGGTATTTCAAGCTGATATTTAACCAACAGGCAGGCCTATTGCTGATCAAAATGCCCTGAAAATTTCAGTTCGAAAAAATGTTTCCTTCCCGAGATATTGGAGTCCCAAGAATCACTCATATCCTATGAACGATACTAAAATATTTCGTTTTTTGAGACTCTAATATCTTGGGAAGGAAACATTTTCTTGAACTAAAATTTTCAAGATATTTTGCTCAACAATAGGCCTGTCTGTGGGCTAAATCTCAGCTCGAAATACCGCCATTCGATTTTTTGACATTTACCATGCCATAGGCTAAAATTGTAGTAAAATGCCTATAGCTCTGGAGAGAAGGCCTAAGGGCACTTATCCTTTTGGGAGGTTTCATACCCCCAATAGGATCTATTTTATTCACAGAGTCTGAATTCAAAAGCGATGTGGCAGTTGGATATGTTCGCTCATGAGTTTCTTATTGGTCATATTCGTAATCAGCATGTTCAGTAACTTTTAATCCATTATCTTTCATTGAAAACATTCTCTCGCCAATTAGATTTTAACATACCAACATATTCTGTCAAAGCTGGATGTTGTGGATCTTCATAAACATGATTTAATGATCTAGCAAGACCAAAATCACATATTTTAACACGACATTGTTGATTAATTAAAACATTTGATGGCTACAATAAAGTATATATCATCTTAAAAATTTATTTCTCTAATAAAGAATAATCAATTCTTTTACTTTCATATCACGATGTATAACATTTGCAGAATGAAGATATTTCATTGCTTTCAGTAATTGATACATAACATAACGTTTATGTGTATCTTTAAGAATATTTCCTTTACGTATAACATTATGAAGATCAGCCTCTAAAAATTATTAAAAGTAGAAAATTCTGTTTTTTTTTTATTTATTTTTTACCCATAAATTCAAAAACAAGATAAATATCACGATCATTATCAGCTCGTAAAACATTTTGTAAACGAATTACATTTGGATGTTCACCAAATTCACGTAGAAAAACGATTTCACGATATGTTCTCTATACAACAACAACAAAAAAAAATAAAAATAAGAAAATCATTATTTATTTTTTTTTCTCTCATACTTGTGCATCAGTTTGATTACGAAATGCATCGAAAATTTTTTTTAATGCAACTACTTCTTTAGTTCGTTTATCAGTTGCTTTCCATACGATACCATATGCTCCTTTTCCAAGACGTTTTTGAATTTCATAGTAACGTAATATATGTGTATCCACTCCTAATATTCATATGAAAATTATTTTATGAAGATTGAATCAAAAGAAAATTTAGACTTACCATCCGACATTTTTTTTTGTTGCAACGAATTTTGTTATTTTTTATTGTTTTTCTAGATAGATAATAAAATTATTAATCTAAGCATTTACAAGTATTCGTATTTTTTTTTCTCTTTTTTTTTTCGATTCGGTTTCAACCATAATAAGTTAAACACGATGATCAGTTACTTGACAACAGTCTCCAAAATGTTTATGTAACAAATACTTACGAACAGATGTCACTCATTGGCATATGAATATGAGTTATTCAGGTTTTTATAAAAAAATGTTTGCTTCTCAAGTTTAGGTTTCAATTTTATATAAAGTCTGGACACGCAATTGATGTATGAGTTTTATTTCATTATGATTCAATGTTCTAATTACATATAGAATCGAAGAGAAACTTCAGTACACATCACATCGGTTTAATTGATAAAATTGAAGATTCTGTTTGATTATTGAATTATGTGTATTGCAAAACGATATGAATTTATCATGGAATTTTTAAGAAAAAGCTTCTTTTTTAAATAGAAATATATCAGATGATTTATGAATTCTTTCTAAATAAATAATACTATTAAGGTAATTTATGTCATGTCTTTCCAAATCATTTTGTTAATATTTCGATTCGTATTTTTTTTATGATGAGATAACCTATGGTTTTTATTAGTTTCATTTGTTCTTTTTTTTCTTTTGTATTTATGAATGTCATTTCCTAATTAACGGATTAAATATAAAAATCAAGTTGAGTCAATTATGTTACCATAAAAAGTCTCGAATTGCGTGTTACATACAAATACAAAATAAAAAACGATGAAATAAAATTCTTTAATGTATATATATACTTCGAGAAAAAATACGGTTTTGTTTGTTCCACTTTTTTGTTCTATATGAAGAAACAAAAAAAAAGAACGTCTATGATTTTGATTCAGTCACAAATAAAGGTCAAAAAACAATATGAAGATCAATCATTCTATGCCAATACAAAAAAAAAGAAAAACGACAATCATAGATCAAGATATGAGTATTCAACGTAAAAGTAATTTTTCATCTCTTACACGTCCATCAGCAGTTTCAATTTATTCAGCAACATTATATTCAAATGATGAAGATGATGATCATCGATTATCACGATGTTATTCAGTACTCTATATTCATAAAACTGATGTATATCATGTTCTTGAAAGACAACAAGGTAGACGTACACTTATTTATCATTTATTTGTTTTTTGTTTAACATTAATTTCATTGGTATTTGGTTCAATATCAACTATTAGTAAATGGCGATCAATATTAAATAAACCATTATATTATGGTGAATTAGGTTTATGTATATTTTTTACTTATGAATTTATATTACGTATATGGTCAGCTGGTTGTCGTGCAAAATATCGTACATGGTTTGGTCGTTTAATGTTTATGACTCGTTCTGTAATTGTACTTGATATATTAACACTTCTTGGTTTTGCATTTTCTATAGCAACAGGTATAACAACTGGAGAATTTCCAGAAATAATATTAAAATTTTTACCATTATTACAAATGATTCGATTTTTACGTGTTGATCGACAATTAACATCATGGAAAATTTTAAAAGGAATTATTTTAAAACATCACCAAGAACTTACAGTTACAATAGTTATTGGTTTTATGTTTCTTATTACAGGTGCTTATCTTGTTTTTATTGCTGAAACACCAACAGATCCAAAGTTAAATACAAGTTTATATAAATCTATGGCTGATTCAATATGGTTTTCAATTATAACAGTAATATTTTTCATAATAAAAATATTTATGGTTATTTCTAATATATATATAAACAATTTAGATGACAACTATTGGTTTTGGTGATATTTCTCCTAAAACTTTTATTGGTAAAATTGTAACAACAACAATTTGTTATCTTGGTGTTGCATTTTGGTGTTTACCAGTTGGCATTATCGGAAGTGTAATTGACTCGTTGTTTTTTTTTTCATTCTATCATGCTTTTTACATATATATATATATCTATTTAAAGGGTCTTGCTATACAAGTACAAGAACAAAAACGTGACGAAGCATTTAATCGTCTTATACCTGCTGCTGCAAGTGTTATTCGTAATTGGTGGCGACTTCGATGTGTTTATCATGGTGATCGTTTTGTAGCAACATGGAAAATTTATACATTAATGCAACGACGTGTTAATGTACCTACAACACCATTAACTCAAGATCTAAGATTAAAACCAGCACTAATTAGATCTTCATCTAATAATGCCTCTGAAATCAAATCATCTCCATTTAATCGTACACAAACAACAACAACACCGAAACTGAATAATATTCGAAGAAAATCTATAACAAGTATTGGCGATTTACCAAAACGTTATATAACAGCAATAAAAATAATTCGTATACTTAAGTATTCATCTTCATGTAAAAAATTTCAACAAGCAAAAAATCCAATTAATTTAAAAGATGTTGTTAGTGAAAATACTCAAGTGAATAATCGTTTATCAATTATGTTAAATGATATTCAACGTCGTTTAGATTTAGCATTAGGTACAAAAAAATTAGCATCATATCTTTCCGATGAACAAAAACATCAATTAAGTTTAAGTTCACGAATTGAAAAAGTTGAACAAATAACAAATCAATTTGAAACAAAATTAAATTATTTAGAACAATTAGCAATAAGTTTAACTAAAAATAATTGAAACAAAGATAATCGAGAAAAAAACAAAAAATAAAAACTTTATTTATTTTTTAATCAAATCATTGAGTAAATAATACAAATTTTTTTTTGTTGATATTTTTATAATTCAACAAATATTCTTCAATATTAGTTTAATAGTATATGTTTTACTGAAAAAAAAAGAAGATTTTCTCTCATTAATATTCCATTGAATCGATCACTTTTTTTTATCAAGCCGTATGACAACGCGTATTATCGATTGTCGTAACTATGTTATTAGTTATATTTGATCGAACTGTATCTGATTGAACTATAGTAGAATTCCATTTCCAATCGTTGACAAGAATTTCAGGTGTTGTTAATTGAAATATTTGATTTTCTAATTTTGGTCTATAAAGCATCCATGATGGTAATATAATAGTTTGTTTTTCAACTTGAATTTTCTCTGTTTCTTTATACAATGTTGTACGTATACGTTCTAATTGACGTTGTTCGCTATGTATTATATTTAAACGTACTTTCTTTTCACGTTCATAAAATTTTAAACGAACATTAAGAAGACGATCTTCAACTTTATTTCTAGCACGAATAGCATCACTTAATTCTGTATATCGTTGCTGAATAAATTCACCATTAGCATCCTAAACTAGAATAAAAATAAATCATATGTTTTGTTTTATTTCATATTTTATTACAGCTTTTTGTCGTGCGAATTCCATTGATTTGAAAAGTAAAAAATATTTTTTGTTTTCTCTTTCATTTTACTAAAACTTTACACTAATCATTTAATACACAGTAGGAATCTCAATATGAATTTCTTGTTTTTTTTCTCTTTTCTTTTGATTTGATTCCCAAAAGGAAAAAATATATACATAGAAATTTTCTATTATACTCTGTTGTTGTAAAATTTGTTGATACCATTTATATCACTGTTCAATTCTTCAGTTATCTTATTGACAAAAAAAAACCTTTGTCAATATGTTATTGTATTTTCTTGATTGAAAATTTGTTGGCGCCATTTATATCTCTGTTCAATTCTTTGGTTACCTTATTGACAAAAATAAAAAATCCTTGTCAATACAATACTTGAAATAATGATTGAAGAAGAGGATGATGATGAATTAATAGAAAAACGTATTGAATTACGACAAAAACTCAAAAGTAAATTATTAACATTATCACCATCATATCATGTTTTAAATTCATTTAATAATTTTATACCAAATTCACGTGATATAGATTTTATTGAAAAACAAGGTCTTGATTGTGTTATAAATTATTTAATTCATAATAATTCAATAGAATATTATGAACAAATACCAAATATATGTTCAAATTGTCAAATAGATTCAACTGAAAATTGGTGGTATACATTAACTAATACTAAACAATTGATTTATTTATGTGATATATGTGAACAAAATCGAATTCGACATTTTATTCTTGAACAACATCGTCAATCAATGAAATCAGCCTTTTTAAAAGCTAAAGAAATTGAACATCGTTTAGAAGTTGATTATCAAAAACAAAAACGAAGGAAAATCTAAATAGATTTGAACAGTTCACTTCTATAGCTTGTTAACAAAGTTCTGTATACAACAAAAAAAAATCAAATTAATTGTAAATATAAGAAATATTTTATTATGTACCTAATTCACTGTTATAATCAGTTAAAAAGTCATCTTATTATCATACAAAAAAAAAACCGTTTAAAAAACTTTCACAAGATTAAAAATTATTTGAAAAGAGATTATATTCGACGTTACGATAACAAAATCAATCAGTAGAAAAACAATCCAAATAATTTGCAAAAATATCGTCAATATTAGTCTAAAAAAACATAGAAAAAAAAGAATAATTTAATACAATATTCAAGAAATAGAAAAAAAAAAAGCTGCGAATTAATAAATTTCAGATAAAGAAAAACTATGTCATTCAAATCTCACAGAAACTGAAGGTAGTCGGTTCGGTTTAATATGCATTACTTGTGTCATCCTATCACTGATATATTATAGTGTTTATAAGAACCGACTGTTTATCGGCAGTCGATTGATGATCGGATCGTTCATCTATGGAATAACTATGAAGAAACTATCGCCATTTTTTTGTGAGTGTTGTATCAAAATAGGAGAATTTTTTTATCACATATTAAAACTGATGGAATTGAGTCGCTCGCTTTACATCCAATCTGATTATGTTGATGAGTCTGAGCCGTCTATATTTGTCACAGACTCTAAAGTGACCTCAGTAATGTTTTAAACTTTTATTATAGACGACACAGCAAAAATTGTTTATTAGTACGAGTTATTTTGCCATTGTCTTCTTCTAGATTCATTCAAATTAGGGATATCACTTTCATTTTGAAATTTTTAAAGTATAACTTTTGTTGATTTGAAAATATCGTTTTATCTTAATTATTCTATAAAAAATTGATAACTATGAATGATCACTTCGTCGAACTGTCTTACAATGCCTATTCATTCATCGTAAAATTTTCATCATATTATCTCTAAAGTTCACTCGACAAATGATAAACTCTGTTTGAAATGAGTATCATGGCTATCGTAATGAAATTTTGCCATAAGATGAGATCCTTTCGAAAGTTTTATAGCTGAAAAATTGCCACAACAATTGAATAGAAAAGCTTGTACTCTGCGATGCTATTCAAAAGAAAGTATTTCGAATTTTACTGTTGTGACTGTAATTGCACCAGAACTGCTGCCATTAATCCATGAGATTCATCGAGCCTCAGGTTATTACATTTGTGGACATTGAAATATATGCGTTTTTACAATGTTCTTCAGAAAACAACTGCTCCCATCATTATGGTGGTAGCAGTGCTGCGATGAACATCTCTATGTCGCATATAAAACAGTACTATATATCTTCATTTCTAGGAGATGTGTTAGTGACTCCTGATCTTGAGAAATCATTCCGAATCCGATTAACTTTAGAAGAAGTCGTCGTCTAATTCGTTTTCTGAGTAATGCCCGATACAAAACTAACTCAACAGGCTCAACCTTTGAACGTGAGTGCTGCCGAACACAATTCCTGAATCATTGATGCTTCTTCCTCAATCTTGACGAACTCGGGATATCTCTGTTCATTTCTTTAGAAGATAAAATTCAATTTTTTAAGAAAAACATATATATTCTCTTCAATCATAAAAATGATACATTTTTATATTGATGACTTACTAAACAACTTTCACAATCATAATTAATATTTAATTGTCCTATACGTTTTTCTTTTGTAATATTATTATGTAATAATAAATGATAATATGCTTGACATGGATTCATTGTTTTAATCCATGATTGACATGTTAAACATCGATATTGTATTGATACACTTCGACGATTTAAATGTAAATCAAACATTTCATTTGTACTAAATTTATAATTACATAATTGACATACATATAAATCATTATGATGATGTTCTTTTGTAGAAGATGAATAAGAAAAAATATTTCTTAAAAATCGATAAAATTCATTTTGTTTAAAAAATCTATTTGTTGATGAATATATAGCATATTTACATTTATATAAATATTCATCAGATAAACGTAAAAAATTTGTTGATTGCCAATGATTATTATTAACATTTAATAATTCTAATGAACCTGTTTGATAGTGACGTTGTTGAAATAAACTAGGTCGAAGTTCAATAGGTAATATTGGAAATAAATATCGACGACGACGTTGTCGTATTAATTGACAATTTGTTTTAATACGTTCAAGACGTTGTCTATATGATGATGATGATGAATGTTTTAAATTTTTTTTTGATATATTTATTTCATTATTTATTGATTTTGGTAAAAGATTTTTATAATATGGTAAAAATAATGATTGATTTTCATTTAAATCAATCATTGTCTTCGACATCTTAAACAAATAAGAAAATAAACCTATTGTTGTTGTTTATTTGATTTGTATATGTAACATTCTATTGGCTAGAAGAATCACCTCAGTTACCAAACAAAAAAGATAAACATAGAATTATTTCTTTAGCATTAAATCTAGAAGCATGGATATCAAAGGTAAATTTTTATTTGAACGAAAAAAAAAATTCAAAACAAATGATCGTATTTTTGTTTTTGTTCTACATAGAGAATGATTCAAAATTATTTACACCTGGTCCTTTAACAACCAGTTTAACAGTTAAACAATCTATGCTTCATGATTTAGGTTCACGTGATACTGTTTTTTTGAATATAATTGCATATATTCGTGAAAATTTAATTAAATTAGCAGGTTGATTCAAGTTTATCGAAATAATAAAAATATTTTCTTATGTTTTCTTTTTGTTTTTTTTAGATGCATCACCTGATGAATATATAGCTGTACTCCTTCAAGGAAGTGGTACATATGCTGTTGAAGCAACATTTTCAACATCTGTACCACAACAAGGTGCTAAAGTATAAGCATATTCTTTTTATATGTGTAATTCATTTGAAAATTTCGATAAAATTTTTTTTTCAAGGTTTTAATCATTGAAAATGGTGCATATGGTCAACGAATGATAAAAATATGTCGAATATTAAATATTCCTCATGATATTCTTTCATTTCATGAAACAGAACGTGTTCAAATTGATCAAGTTGCTAATAAACTTAAATCAAATACATATACACATGTTGCTATTATTCATTGTGAAACAAGTTCAGGAATTTTAAATCCAATTGAAGATATTGGACAATTAGTATATGATCATGGTACAACAAAAGGTATAATAGTTTTTTTTTTTTGTTTTTCTTTTTGTCTATTAGTTTTCTATATAATCATTTAAATGATTTTATTTAGGTTCAACAGTATATATTGTTGATTCGATGAGTGGTTTTGGTGCAATTCCTGTTAGTCTTCGTAATGGTCATATTACATATATAATTAGTTCAGCTAATAAATGTATTGAAGGTATACCTGGTTTTGCTTTTGTTATTTGCAAACGAAAACATTTACTTACATGCCAAGGTTAATATAGGACATTCTTTGTTTTTATTATTATTTATGTAATGTA